GGAGATGGGTGCTGCGAAAGACTTCTAAGGAGTGTGCCTCAGCCATTGCTGCCACTGTGACAGCAGCGGCAGGTGATGTATTCTTTGGGTTCCAATTCTGCTTCCCCTGTGAATCCTGCCATTCGAGGCACTTGCCTCACCTTGCCTCATGGGTGGGCTGGCCCTGACTCAACCAGAGCATCAAAGTAATGCTAAGGCTCTTAGTACTTTTATTGAAATACACTTGATGAGGATTATAGCTTCATTGTTGTTCTGATATAGCACAAGATTTGGTTTCAGCAAAAACTCTTTACAGAGAGGTGATAAAACTCACACTTCAACACACAGCGGAATAAACTGATTCCCTATAGAATGGCTATTCTTTTTTCTTAAACCAGAAACCTACTGCAAGCCCGTTCCAGGAACTTTCATAATCTGTGTTGCCCTTCGTAGCTAACCCATAATAAAGCCCTTTTCAGGTCCTAAGGTGATCCCTGTATGAGCCATATCTGACAATTAAGACCTATCTAAGGGCTTTCCAATTCCTATTTGATGGTTTAACTGTAAGAGTCTAACTTTTAACTCTCCATTCCTTCTTGACACACCAAAATAAAAATGCAATAATATTAATGAATGCATGCATGAATAAATAAACAAAACGAAAACTTTCAAGGCAACTGTGCTTTCTATTGTAGTACTCTTCTTTTGAATATCTCATTATACCGAAGTCTTTTACTCTGGATGTCACATAATCATACAATTGTACACTGGGAAGGGACCCCAGTGGTCAGTCCATAGAGGCATCAGTATCTCTTGCCAATCAGGTGAGCTTGATTATAGTTTCTTCTGCAATGTCTCACAGCAAGTGTAATTCTGAATAGGTGATTATCTCCCTTATAATTATCCAATTAACTGTGATTACATGCTATTTCTTCTTCAAGTCCGAAGTAATCATGAGTAAAACTACAAGACAGTGTGCATCTATAACTACCCCCTGGGCAACACAGTGCTGGAAATTAAGAGGGTGAGGGCTTTGTAAATCTGATTGTGGACATTGCAGATGGTACAGTCTGAGTCACATATCATTCTGGGTGCGGCCGTTCAAATTCAGTTGTGAGACTCAGCACGGAACACAGTAAGGTATAATGTGGAGGCAAGAGAAAAGGTGTGGAGAAGGAATTCTGTCATGGAAGATAGTGGCATTTGCAGTTGTCCTTTTGCCTATGGTGACAAACAAGACGCCTGACATCAAATGCAAAGTCAGCAACTCTCTTCCTATTCTTCACAAGTTTTACCAGCCTGGAGACCTCACTATTGCCAGCATTATAGCTCAGATATATAGATTTTACATTCCACTAAGTTTCGCAAAGCGCCCTTCTAATCACAATTTTGAAGACACGGTGTAAGGCTTTCTTTCTTTTTTAAAAAAGTTATTTTGCAATGCCATGTATTTGCCCTAGCTACACCACATTACCCTTCGGTCTTGTGGTGATCATGCTGTTTTGTGCTTAGGAGTATTGAAGAATTTTCTGGTTGTAAGGAATAAACTGTGAGAGAGCAGTGACGGGAGTTGAAGATTAATTTTTAATTTTGGTCCGTATTGGTTTTAAGGCAATGGAGTGTAACAATATTTCATCATGCTTACCTAGATCAGAACCATTATACTATAGTGTATTCGGTAATAATGCATTGAACTGAATGGAAGTATATGTCATATGTTGTAGTAAATACACTGTCATACTGCATGCAACTCTAATTGCAGGGTGGTGACCCAGATCTACCAGCATATCCTGGCCTTGATATTTGCTGTAAAGGAGATCAATGAAAACCCCCAGATTTTACCAAATGTTACCCTGGGTTTCCATATCTATAATAGCTATTTCACTGCAAAATGGACCTATCATGCCTCAATGGAACTCTTCTCCACACTGGGCAAATCAGCCCCCAACTACAAATGTGATATTCAGAACAATCCAGGAGCAGTCATTGGGGGACCTGTCTCTGAAGTCTGTCTCTACATGGCAGATATTCTGTCCATTTATAAGATTCCACAGGTAAGATGTAAGCATGCAGGAAGACAGGTTAACAAGCCATTTGCTCATCCCTTTCCTGGTACACTTTTCTTATTAAGAGTTTTATTTCCAATGTTTTTTTTTTCCAGAAGCTCCAACAATTATTTGAGGTTCCGGAGATTTTTCTGCAGCAGGTTCAGGACCTGCCTTTTTCTCAATGTCTCTGTACTTAGATGCTGCAGCAAGATCTTGTTGTTGTTGTTGTTGTTGTTGTTGTTGTTGTTGTTATACACATCCCCCACTTTCACATTGACGGCTTTCGTAAATTTGCCATTAATGAAAAATCTGTCAAAGCAAATAATAATATCATGGGAAAATACTGCATTTTTGTTTGTTTTGTTGGGAGCTAGATGACAATGAACAATTTCTATGTCTGACTATTAGGAGGACTTCTGGCATTTCTGTTGTCCGTCATGTTGGTAAGAAATTTATTATATCTGCAGTGTCTCAGAATTTTAAATTCAAAGTCGTCTCCTATTTTCTTTGTCATCAAGTAAGTCAGTTAATGGTTTCTGACATTGTAGAAGGATTGTGTGTTTTTTCACACACAGTTCTGTAGCTTCGTTTGGAATGTTTCCTATTTTTTGTGTTTTCTGGATTAATTGTTCTAGATGATTTTTAATAGCAGTAAAGGCTTTTCCTCACTCTGTAAATAAGAAGTGTGGATTTTGTACTTTGCCATTTACTGCTTCCATCATCGCTGTTGCAGAAGTGATCTCTCTGTGTTCAGCTTTCTCTTCTTTGGCGACCATTTTGTGCACATTGTTCACAATCTATTTCTCTGTATAGGATTATAGCAAAACTTACAGGAAGAGGAGACTGGTATTTTTGAGAAACCATATGGCAGACTTTTCCCTTTTATTACAAAAGCTACTTAAATTTGCTGCTTAGAAAGAAAGTGCTAATATTAAAGTATTTTCTAAACGCTAAGTGTACGCTCTGTGGGCTGGTAGAGCAACAACCGGTAACAGTAGGGCCAGAAAGAGGTGCTTACTTGATCTCCCTGAACTGAAGGCATTGCAGTGTTTCAGGTGGGGAGTGTCAGTGAAGCCAGTCTGCTACAAAAGCAATGGTCGGAGTGTCATATTGATTCCACCAAGGTATTTGCAGTGTACAGAGCTCACTGCTGTCTCACCCCTTCCACTCACCTTTCCAAAACATCAATGAATCTCTGAACACACTTGCTGTACCCTGCTGGCCACTACTGGCAGCATCATATGTCTTCCCTAGAGAAATTATATGGGATTGGTACCAACCCCCTTAACTTCTTTTAATTTCCATTAGATCATGTATTGCTCTGCTGCGGCACTAGATAAGAAAACCCAAGCTGCTTTCTATTACCAAGTGTTCCCAGATTTGAAGCTTCAATATAAGGCAATTCTCTGGTTACTGCTATATTTCAAGTGGACATGGACTGGGATTATTTCTGGGCAAAACGATAATGGAGAGAGGTTTGAACATAATATTATTTCCATGTTTGCCCAGAGAGGTATTTGCTTTGATTTCATAATGAGAATTCCCAAAATGTCTTTTACAAATGATTTTGATGACGTGATGGGAGAGGTATTTGAAATGAATGAAATTATTATGAGCAGCACTGTCAATGCATTGGTCATTCATGGTGATATCGAGACCATGATCATCCTGAGGATTTTTTCCAGGGCTTCAGCATATGACCTTATATCAACAAAGATAAATAGTAAGGTGTGGATTATGACAGGCGAGATAGATTTCACTTCCATTCCTGTTCAAAGAGATTGGGACATAGACTTTCTCCATGGTGCTATATCTTTTGCCATTCACTCCAGTGAGGTTGTTGGATTCCATAAATTTCTTCAGGTGAGAAACCCCACCTCGGAGAAAGCAGATGGCTTTGTTAGAGTCTTCTGGGAACAGGTCTTTGGGTGTTTGTTCCCCAAACTCCATGGTAGACCTACAGGATGAAGACCTCTGCAGTGGAGAGGAGAAGCTGGAGACTCTTCCTGCCTCTGTTTTTGAAATGAGCATGACTGGCCACAGCTACAGTGTCTTCACAGCTGCCTATGTGGTTGCACATGCTTTGCATGCCATGCATTCAAGTAGCTTCAAAAAAAGAATGAAAGTGGATGAAGGAGTAAAATTCAAGAATGAACAGTTATGGAAGGTAATGTTCTGAGAATGCTAAAAGTGGAGTAGAAATGGTGATGGGTCAGTCCAAAGGTTTCCCAAGGCAGCCAACATGATACCTGTGCTCAATCAGGACATTATGACAACAGGTCACTCCCAACAATCTGGTGTTCAGAGGCACGATGCCCCTTTTTCTGGAGCAAGTATATAGTCATTGTGGCTAATAGATATAGATATGCAATTTCTTCCTTGACTTTGTCTAATCTCCACTGCTCACCAGATGCAAAGGAATAAACAGAGAATCTAGATTCTTTGGAAAGTCCCAAAGGTGATAATGATAAGCATGGAGCAAGCTTTTTTTGTGCTTCTGCCCTGCACCACGTCACGGTTGTAAATGTAGTAGTGGCTATACTATTCTGACCTGCTCCACTGCTGCCCAGTCACTTCCTTCATTAGTACCACTGTTACATTTTATTATTGTATTTTAGTACTGTATCTGTTTATTGTTGTACGTATCTCTCATTGTTCCTGCAAGGGCTCTTTCCCTCTCCATATCTATTTTTACTTGGTATAAAGATTTTATACAGTTCAGTATACAAGTGGGAATGACGATAAGTCTTTTGTATATCCTTATGCATTGGCTTTCCTTTATTTTCTTTTTTGTTCTATCCATTTTTTTTCTAAACAGCTCAACCACTTTGTTAAAAGCATCTCATTTAATAATAGTGATGGGGGAAAGTTTCCTTCAACCAAAATGGAGAGTTAGAGTCTGGATTTGATATTATAAACTGGGTCACATTTCCAAACCAGTCCTTTCGGAGAGTGAAAGTTGGAAAGATTGACCCCATGGCTCCCCAAGAAGAAGAGTTCAGCATTTGTGAAGAAGCCATTGTGTGGCCCAGCAGGTTTAACCAGGTGAGATAAATTCATATTTTGTAGCCTATCCATCACTTCTAAAATGATTTGCGGTTCAGATACTGACCTAGCTCTGTGCTATGTTCACCCATGTACTCAGTGTAGGAGTGAGGGCATGGGTGTGCAGATCTTCCATGTTTTGCCAGTTACGTGACACTCATTACATCCACTATTGCACTACTACCACCAAATTTACTACTTGGAAAAAAGTAAAACTTGATAAATTTACAGAGGGTCATATTCATGTGGGGGAAGGCAGCATAAGGGTTCCTTAAATAAATTTACAGAGGGTCATATTCATGTGGGGGAAGGCAGCATAAGGGTTCCTTAAATAAATTTACAGAGGGTCATATTCATGTGGGGGAAGGCAGCATAAGGGTTCCTTAAATAAATTACAGAGGGTCATATTCATGTGGGGGAAGGCAGCATAAGGGTTCCTTCTATCACGATGGGGCTTGCTTGTTTCCTTCCCTACCCAAAATTGTAAAATATGGCTCTGCTTTCCTTTGGTCCACATCAATGTGGTCGGCAAGGGTGCCTTTTTGTCCTGGCAACCCAATGCTCGATGCACACTGCCCAGGTTTCGTACTGCTAATGCATCAGTTCAGCTTCTCCCCCAGAGGTGCACTACACTGAATGACAATAACAAAAACAGTTGCCTCCAACTGTGGAGAAGAACCAAAGCCATCAGGGCAAGTAGCCCTTGATTGTCCTTTCCTACTTGTCTCTTGCCTCTTCCACCATACTGTAAAAGGAGATAGTTCAGCAAGTTAACAGAATATAATACATTGTGGATATACAATATTGCAAAATAGAAAACATTATCCTCTTACATTTTTGGACAGGCACAGCCCCTTTCTCTTTGCAATGCCAATTGTCCTTTGGGTTTTCAAAAAACAAAGAAGGAAGGGAAACCGTTTTGCTGCTATGATTGCATTATATGTCCAGAAGGGAAGATTTCCAACCAGACAGGTAAGAGACATCATGTAAAGAGCCTTTCAAACATACTAACACTAATATATTCTGACACTCCCATCCCTTGTGGTTTTCAGTTGTTCAGTCAATTCAGGAACGTTGTTCAGAATTCAGTGAAGGTTGTGGTTCCTGATATGAGGATACAGCATGATATATTCAATAATATCAGTCCAATCCATTGACAACTGGTAATTATGTACAATATATATATATATATATATATATATATATTTGCTTTCGTGATGACGAGTGAGACCTCGTCGAAACGTCGCCTAGACACCCCAACTTTTACACGGGAAGACACCCGAGGACACCAAAACCTGCATATATATATATATATATATATATATATGAAATGAAACACCACTCAGATGATGGAGGTATCAAAAGTTTAAAAAACAGAAACCTTCAGAGATATGAAAGAACCTCAGGGAGAAAGCTAAGGTTGCAACAGCCTTTCTTAAATGCAAGACCCAAGAACCATGTTTCCAAATTCAGAGAAGCGCTAAAACTGAAATACAACCTTGCTCCAGTCGACATATAAGAATGGGAATTGAATATTGTATGTTGCTAATAATATAATTACATGAGAAGTGTGCCAAATTGTTTTTTTTCAGATTTCAACCTGGCAAACCCTTATTTAAGGTTTAATTTTCATTTTGATCATTTTAGTATTATGCATGTAGTGGTGCTCCTACAGCATTTCTTTTTCAGACATGGATGAATGCTTTCAGTGCCCACAAGATCATTACCCAAATGTGGAAAAGGATTCTTGCCTGCCAAAGAACATACAATTCTTGTCTTATGGAGAACCACTGGGGATCTCTTTGGCCTGTTTTGCTCTTTCCTTGTCCTTCCTTACAGCTTTGGTGCTTTGGATTTTCATTAAGCACCGTGAAACTCCCATAGTCAAAGCCAACAACCGCAACCTCTCCTACACTCTCCTCACCTCCCTCTTGTTTGCTTTCCTTTGTGCTTTGCTATTCATCGGTCAACCTGAGAAAGTGACATGTCTCCTTCGACAAACAGCTTTTGGCATCATCTTTTCAGTGGCAGTTTCTTGTGTGTTGACAAAGACAATCATTGTGGTCCTTGCTTTCATGGTCACCAAACCAGGGTCCAGCATGAGGAAATGGGTGGGGAAACAACAGGCCACCTTCATTGTTCTTTCCTGTTCCTTGATTCAGGCTGCTCTTTGTACTGTGTGGCTGGCAACTTCTCCTCCATTCCCAGATTTAGACATGCACTCAATGAGTAAAGAAATTGTTCTGGAATGTAATGAAGGGTCAGTCACCATGTTCTACTGTGTCTTGGGGTTTATGGGCTTGCTGGCCATTGTCAGCTTCTCTGTAGCCTTCCTAGCCAGGAAGCTACCCGACAGTTTTAATGAAGCCAAGTTTATCACCTTCAGCATGCTGGTATTTTGCAGTGTGTGGCTGTCCTTTGTTCCAACTTACTTAAGCACAAAAGGAAAATATATGGTGGCTGTGGAGATCTTCTCCATCTTGGCCTCCAGTGCTGGTTTACTAGGCTGTATATTTTCACCAAAATGTTATATTATTGTAGTGAAGCCTGAATTGAATAGCAAGGAGCAACTCAGAAGGAAGAATTGAAATATTTAAAATTCAGGGTCCCTCATCCATGTCATATTTTAATTAGAAATGGGGTCTATGTTACTTCTGCATTTTTTATATTCCTCAGCTAAATGCAAATGTAAGTTTGACTGTTCGTGCCATATTGGAGTAATCCTTTTCAAATCTGTGATATATTCTTGTTCAATTCTCCTCACCAAATAAAATGCAAAGAGAGGGAAGGTGTGCATCTCTTAAAAGGGGTATTCCAGGGTGTGGTGGCACGGGGTGAGACCAGGAGGGACACACCTGTTTCATGCTTCTTGATTAGTTACATGAGCTGGTAAACCCACGAAATTCATGCCATCAAAAATTGTCATGTAAGTAGACTCCAGTTCCCCATTATCGTCACACTTTTGTAAGGTGCGGAGGTTGCTGTGAGAGAGGTGGCAGATCTGACCTCTAAGGAGTGTGCCTCAGCCATTGCTGCCACTGTGGCAGCAGCGGCAGGTGATGCATTCTTTGGGTTCCAATTCTGCTACCCCTGTGAATCCTACCATTCGAGGCACTTGCCTCAGCTTGCCTCATAGGTGGGCTGGCCCTGACTTAACCAGAGCATCAAAGTAATGTTAAGGCTCTTAGTAATTTTATTGAAATACACTTGATGAGGATTATAGCTTCATTGTTATTCTGATATGGCACAAGACTTGGTTTCAGCCAAAAACTCTTTACAGAGAGGTGATAAAACTCTCACTTCAACACACAGTGGAATAAACTGATTCCCCATAGTATGGCTATTCTTTTTTCTTAAACCAGAAACCTACTGCAAGCCCGTTCCAGGAACTTTCATAATCTACATAGCCCTTCCTAGCTAACCCATAATAAAGCCCTTTTCAGGTCCTAAGGTGATCCCTGTCTGAGCCATATCTGACAGTTAAGACTTATTTGAGGGCTTTCCAATTCCTAATTGACAGTAAGGGTCTAACTTTTAGCTCTCCATTCCTTCTTGACACACCAAAATAAAAATGCAATACAGTTAATGAATGAATTCATGAATAAAGAAATAAAGAAAATGAAAACTTTCAAGCTCATTATACTGAAGTCCTTTACTCTGGATGTCACATAATCATACAATTGTACACTAGAAAGGGGCCCCAGGGGTCATCTGCAATGCAGGAATCTGTCAGTCCATAGAGGCATCGGTATCTCTTGCCATTCCAATGAACTGGATTATAGTTTCTTCTGCAATGTCTCACAGCAAGTGTAATTCTGAATAGGTGATTATCTCCCTTATGATAATCCAATTAACTCTGATTACATGCTATTTCTTCTTCAAGTCCCAAGTTACCATGAGTAAAACTACAAGACAGTGTGCATCTATAACTACCCCCTGGGCAACTCAGTGCTGGAAATTAAGAGGGTGAGGGCTTTGTAAATCTGATTGTGGACATTTCAGATGGCACAGTCTGAGTCACATATCATTCTGGGTGCGGCCGTTCAAATTAAGTTGGGAGACTCAGCACGGAACCCAGTAAGGTATAATGTGGAGGCAAGAGAATAGGCGTGGAGAAGGAATTCTGTCATGGAAGATAGTGGCATTTGCAGTTGTCCTTTTGCCTCTGGTGACAAACAAGACAACTGACTTCAAATGCAAAGTCAGCAACTCTCTTCCTATTCTTCACAAGTTTTACCAGCCTGGAGACTTCACTATTGCCAGCATTATAGCTCAGATATATAGATTTTACATTCCACTAAGTTTTGCAAAGCGCCCTTCTAATGACAATTTTGAAGACACAGTGTAAGGCTTTCTTTCTTTTTTAAAAAAGTTATTTTGCAATGCCATGTATTTGCCCTAGCTACACCACATTACCCTTCGGTCTTGTGATGATCATGCTGTTTTATGCTTAGGAGTATTGAAGAATTTTCTGGTTGTAAGGAATAAACTGTGAGAGAGCAGTGACGGGAGTTAAAGATTAATTTTTAATTTTGGTCCTTATTGGTTTTAAGGCAATGGAGTGTAACAATATTTCATCATGCTTACCTAGATCAGAACCATTATACTATTGTGTATTCGGTAATAATGCATTGAACTGAATGGAAGTATATGCCATATTTTGTAGTAGATACACTGTCATACTGCATGCAACTCTAATTGCAGGGTGGTGACCCAGATCTACCAGCATATCCTGGCCTTGATATTTGCTGTAAAGGAGATCAATGAAAACCCCCAGATTTTACCAAATGTCACCCTGGGTTTCCATATCTATAATAGCTATTTCACTGCAAAATGGACCTATCATGCCTCAATGGAACTCTTCTCTAGACTGGGCAAATTAACCCCCAACTACAAATGTGATAATCAGAACAATCCAGGAGCAGTCATTGGGGGACCTGTCTCTGAAGTCTGTCTCTACATGGCAGATATTCTGTCCATTTATAAGATTCCACAGGTAAGATGTAAGCATGCAGGAAGACAGGTTAACAAGCCATTTGCTCATCCCTTTCCTGGTACGCTTTTCTTTTTATCAGTTTTATTTCCAATGTTTTTTTCCCCAGAAGCTCCAACAATAAAGTATTTGAGGTTCCTGAGATTTTTCTGTAGCAGGTTCAGGGTCTGCCTTTTTCTCAGTGTCTCTGTACTTAGATCTTGCAGCAAGATCATGTTGTTGTTGTTGTTGTTGTTGTTGTTGTTGTTGTTGTTGTTGTTGTTGTTGTTGTTGTTATACACAGACCCCACTTTCACAGTGACAGCTTTCATAAATTTGCTATTAATGAGAAATCTGTCAAAGCAAATAATAATATCATGGGAAAATACTGCATTTTTATTTGTTTTGTCGGGAGCTAGATGGCAATGAACAATTTCTATGTCTGACTATTATGAGGACTTCTGGCATTTCTGTTGTCCGTCATGTTGGTAAGAAATTTATTATATCTGCAGGGTCTCAGAATTTTAAATTCAAAGTCGTCTCCTATTTTCTTTGTCATCAAGTAAGTCAGTTAATGGTTTCTGACATTGTGTGTTTTTTCACACTCAGTTCTGTAGCTGCATTTGGAATGATTCCTAATTTTGTGTTTTCTGGGTTAATTGTTCTAGATGAATTTTAATAGCAATAAAGGCTTTTCCTCACTATGCAAATAAGAAGTGTAGTTTTTGTACTTTGTCATTAACTACTTGCATCATCGCTGTTGCAGAAGTGATCTCTCTGTGTTCAGCTTTCTCTTCCTTGGAGACCATTTTATGCACATTGTTCACAATCTATTTCTCTGCATAAGATTATAGCAAATTTTACAGGAAGAGGAGACTCATATTTTTAATGTTTGATGTATTTGTTGGCAAGAACAAACAAATCCTTAGAAAGAACTCAAAATACAGCAGAGAAATTAAATCAAGGCAAAACTAATGCCTTAAAGAGAGCATAGGGACAGATTGTGTCACAAACCACATAGCAGACTTTTCCCTCTTATTACAAAAGCTGCTAGATTTGCAACTTGGAAAGAAAGTGCACTGTACAAACCTTGCAGCTGCCTCACTCCTTCCACTCACCTTTCCAAAACACCACATAATCACTGAGCACTACTGGCAGCATCATATGTCTTCCCTAGAGAAATTATATGGGATTGGTCCTCTCCCCCACTTAACTTTTTAGAATTTCCATTAGATCATGTATTGCTCTGCTGCAGCACTAGATAAGAAAACCCAAGCTGCTTTCTATTACCAAGTGCTCCCAGATTTGAAGCTTCAATATAAAGCAATTCTCTGGATATTGCTATATTTCAAGTGGACATGGATTGGGGTTATTTCTGGGCAAGATGATAATGGAGAGAAGTTTGAACATAATATTATTCCCATGTTTGCCGAGAGAGGTATCTGCTTTGATTTCATAATGAGAATTCCCAAAATGTCTTTTACAAATGATTTTGATGACGTGATGGGAGAGGTATTTGAAATGAATGAAATTATTATGAGCAGCACTGTCAATGCATTGGTCATTCATGGTGAGATCGAGACCATGATCATCCTGAGGATTTTTTCCAGGGCTTCAGCATATGAGCTTATATCAACAAAGAGAACTGGTAAGGTCTGGATCATGATGGCTCAGATGGATTTCATTTCCATTCCCCTTCAAAGGGATTGGGACATAGACTTCCTCCATGGCGCTATATCCTTTGCCATTCACTCCAGTGAGGTTGTAGGATTCCATAAATTTCTTCAGGTGAGAAACCCCACCTCAGAGAAAGCAGATGGCTTTGTTAGAGTCTTCTGGGAACAGGTCTTTGGGTGTTTCTTCCCCAAGTCCATGGATGAAGTCCAACAGGATGAAGACCTCTGCAGTGGAGAGGAGAAGCTAGAGACTCTTCCTGCCTCTGTTTTTGAAATGAGCATGACTGGAAACAGCTACAGTGTCTTCACAGCTGCCTATGTGGTTGCACATGCTTTGCATGCCATGCATTCAACTAGACGCAAAGGCAGAATGATAGTGGATGAAGGAGTAAAACTTTCAAATCAAGAGTTGTGGAAGGTAATGTATTGAATATAGCTTTGGGACACCCTGAAGTAGAGTTTTTGCAATAGAGTTCTCCCCCCCCCCCAATGCCCGGTATTCAGAGGCATGATGTCTCTGTTTCTGGGGAATGAATATACCGTAACTGCCTTGAATACTAGATTTTGTTATGTTTCCATGAATTTGTCCAAGCCCCAGGGCTCAGCAGATACAGTAGAAAAAGAACTCTGTGGAAGTTCCAAAGGACGTGATGATGAGCAGGGAGTATTTTATTTTTTGATGTGCCTGCCTTCCACCAGGGGTGGAATGATACAGCTGTGGATGCAGTGGCGGCTATTCTTCCCTGTCTTATTCTGCTGCTGCCCTGCCAGGGTTAAGATTGCTTTACTAATTACTAGCTCAATGTGGCAAATGCACATCTTCCACTCTCTATATCCATGATTACCAGGCATAAAGCTCTGCAAGGGTTCTGTAACCAAGTGGGAATGATCACCAACCTCTTAACATATCATTAAGAATTGCCTTTGTTTAATTTTATTT